CCAGCGGGAGGTACGAGGCAGGTGCATCGGTCAACACATTGTATCGATGACAAAAGTGAAACAAGCGTAGAAACACGTCATAAATCAACAACCAATCGAGAGACGGGCAAGTTATTGAAATTATGTTACCTGGGAATTTTTCTTTCACTGTACGCAGTTACTCAACAAATCAAAGACGGTGGCTCGTCCCACTAATGTACAGCAATTTTGCACCATTTGCAAATAATACTGACAGTTGTATGTAATTGAATGACGGTCGGAAATGGAACCCCGTGAAAATGTTTGATAATTGAGCATAATGATAAATTAATTCATGATGTAAAATGCCTTTATATGAGGTAAATTAGGTCATACATTGACGCGTCCATGGTTGTTGACGTTATATTCAAACATTCTTTGTGTTTTTCTAGATACAGTAGCGCTATAGGCAGTTGTACATGTTTTCGTTTTGCGCACGTGCGCGTGAGCGGTGTGTTGTTGGAATCGGTCGTGCATATCCGATTATGAAATAACAGCGCCTCGAGCTTCTGTTGTTTTTTAAATACACGTGTACGTCTTGCTGTTAAGAAATACTACTCAGGGGCAACGTGTAGTAGAAAGTGTAGTAAATAGTTAGTGGTTTTATTTTTCAGACTTTTCCACGGGTTGACAAAAATGTAAACAAACGACGTCACTGTTAGGGCCTATATTCTATCGCTGAATGCAAACGTTCTCACAACGTTTTTCGTTGGCATTTCGGTCTATAATCTTACAAAAAATATTACTACAGGAAAGTAGATAAGGTTATCACAAAAATAACGCAAAGTAGTACTCGGGTAGAGTGCAGGATAGTCCCATCCAGATATGCGTTTCTTGGTTGATAAGATCGTCGTACTGCCTCATTCATACGTTGCGGTATTCTCGTGAAAACATCATACTACGAATGTGGCAGGGGAATATATAATAAATGAGCATTACTGGCGCGCGATCAGATTGTTTATATCAAATCTATTTGTATTTCAGTTACTCCAAACAAGTGTGATATACATAGAAGTTGAGTATACATAAATATATATGAAGAAATTGTCCAAATCACTTATAAATTAAGTCAGGCGTGAGTAGGGTTAATGTATTAAAAGTAAATGAACACCTTTCCAAAATCACAACTTGTCATAGATTTAGTTCCCATGTATAAATCAGCTCTACTTAAACCTAATTTTAATGTGGACAATATTTAAAAAATATATATATAATTTTGGTTGCAAATCGAAATGCGAAATGATAATCCACATATTTACTTTGCCGATTATTGCATAATGATAAAAGACAATAGTGTAATACAATTTGTAGGTTTCAGTCCAGTATATTGTATATTAATATATAAATTATATAATATTGCAACGCTCTGACCGCCACCTAAATTAGGTTCGATGTGATTCGGCGTATAAGTTAAAGCATGTATCAGAAAGAACGCACTGTCGTGCTTTCTACAACATTTGTACTTATACTGTCGTTACACTTCGGAATTGGTAATTTGTAACACGGTTCCAAAAAAAATGTTGAATTTGTGTAGAAAGATACGAACAAAGCAAGTAACAATTATTGAATGTTTTAATTACAATATATATATCTATATGATTCAGATATTAATACTATTAAAAAAAATCGTTAGACCATTTCTTGGGTATGTGGTCTCTATGTACTCATGGACCTTGCAATCATGTACATATTACGTGTACATCTTGTGTCAAACTGACACTAAATGTTGTATAAATAAATATTCACTGCTATAGCATTCATGTTTACATAATGTGTTATAGTATTATGTATATCATGTATGTATTGTACGTTGTATGTTCTAGTAACGGCATGGTTTGATTTCAAGAAATGTTACCAATACGCTAGGCGATGACGTTAGCAATGCGGTACACAGCTGCTGATTGAAAACTTAATTATAGCATTACCAGATTACAAAATTAAGTTTTTCAGTGAAACGTAAAAAAAACGCCGGCAACTGATTGTCCACACACAAGGAAAAGCCAGCGGACTGCCTCAGTACTAAACATATAACTCATGTACATTTTTTGGATAGTGGTATATCGATAAAATTATAACCAATACAGTAACTTTTAAATATTACATCTTGAAAATAGTGTGATATTTCTAACTCAGTATAAACAACATAAACATTAAAAATAATATTTGAACGTAATAAAATCATCCTGTTATAATATGACATTTTATTCGAGACAATAATATAATTGTCTGCGCTTGCAAAGCTGAACACAATATGGAAATTTAAAGACTTAAAAATGGTAAATAAACTCAAATTGCCCAGAGCGATAGTTAATTCAACACTCTTATATTGTGCAAAATCTAGACATTGAGCAAGATAAGTGAGAAGAAAATGGCAGCATTTGAGATGAAGTGTTACAGACGGTTGATGGATATTTCATGGAAAGAGAAGACGACAAATGAATATGTGTTGCAATTTGTCATGGAAAAAATGGGTGGACAGGAAATTGTGACAGTGGTTGATATGGTTAAGAGACGGAATATGAAATGTTATGGCCATCAAATAAGAAAAGAGGCAGAAATGCGATGGTCATAAATGGTTTGGTTGAAGGAGCAAGAGGAATGACGACGATGAAGCGCTGATTTGAAGGAATGGAGTGGGAGAATTATGGGTGAGCCGGCGAAGATGACTGTTGAGAGAGATTTATGGCGAAGAAAAGAGCATGAGTGGGTGCACCCACGGCCGACAAGCCTAAGGAAGTGATGATGATTCGAGACCATATTATATTTGCCATATCATGACATATTTTGAAATAGTTATTGTGAAGCTTCATTTTAATAGGTTTCATAACATTTCAAATAAAGACAATTTATTTCTAAATGTGTTATATAAAGACATCTTTGTGTAATTATGAAAGTACAATACTGACATGTAATAACACAGTAAATGCATTATTATATCAGCGTTTCATTTTATAATTTATAAGTAGGTTTTCAATCAGCAGCTTTGTAGCCACGAGTTATGAAGAACTAGGTCATTCTTAGAGTCGCGGCTAACGACTATAATCACTGTAGCACCGCCGAAGGTGGACAAACTAGGAGAATGGCATAATGTGAGGGGATGACGTGAATATATAATAGAAGTACAAAATAGACCCATACGGGTGTCCATAGCGACGACGCTACTGATTCGAGGTTAGAATTTGTTATTAAATGTGAAACAATAAGGTTTCCAACCATCTGAATAGCATGAATGTGCTCGTCAATTTATTTGGTTGACCCTTGACCGAACTGTATAAAATATCTCGACGACCATGTTGAACACCTTATAGTATGGGCCAATAATGTAAATTTGTCAAATGAATCGATCGCCTGGGAAAAGTTACGACAATTAGTGGGTAAAGAATCATTAACAACAAATCAATTTGATAGAATATGAAAAAAATTAGATGTGGATTTTTGAAAGTGAACAAAATCTGACAGCACTTGGGTGGAAAATAACCAAAGAATGACAATCAGCAGTAGAAAAAATATCATTATTTGCGCCATGACATAAAACATTGTCAACGCAAACAGTGTTTTGCACGTGCGTATTTCTCAGGGATATTCATATCACTGGGCCTCCGGGTACAATTGTCAACGTTTGTTAATTAAAGCGGGTGGGTCGTCTTCTGCGCACGTGCGGGAATTGAGTTCCAAGCGATGATAACAACACACGTTAAGAACGCAAAGCTTCGTGGGTAGACGCTTGTTTCTAAACAATGGCACGCTTTGGCCACCTGACGCATGCGTTGGTGACGACTCCCCCGCTTTAACAAACTTCTCTTCCTATCTTGTCTAATGTATTCTTAAATACTGCAACATGCTGTTTATTTGTGAAACTAGTTGCAGTATTTGCGACAGATTTGTTGAGCAGTTACACACAGTAAAAGACAAGAAATCGCTGTTGGTTCTGCGTACGCAGGTGCAACGTGTATTATACTCTTTAATTTGATGATTCCCGCCTGCAACGTAACTGAACAGTCTGTTATTTTCAAACTCAATATACCGTATGCCTACGTGGCCTAAATTCAGATATAAATGCATTTCTCGTCATTTGATCAATTGTTGGTTTGTGTATTGAATGTGTATTCTTTCGCTCGATTCAGCCCTTTTTGTCATTGTTAGTCCGATTGTTTATTTTATTTTCATTTTATGCCTTCCACCTTTTCCGTTTGGTGGGATCGCTACTTTCTGTTTATCTATTCATGTGTAACTGCCATATGTGCAATATGTCTGCGATGTAAATTATTCCATACAGGCGCTCGTCACTGTTCGTGTACATGACATTGTTTCCAAGGGCGATCTTTAATGAATAGGATATACTGACTATGTGATTTTCTGTGACGTCAGGTATTCGGTTCGCGCATGCCAAATTCGTCACTGTAGGTTCACATTCATTGTACACTTATTTGAGCTATCGTTTAAGTTGTAAGGTGTAAGGTGTAAGGTGCGCGTCTGCTTACATTGACGATTTGCCGAGTTCACGAGTTCCAAAAACTCTTGGTGCGTGTTTAAATGTTCGTAATAGGTCTGTAGTTTATATTAGCAGAGCTATGAGTGACGCAACGAACCTTCATGTGTACATATTCTTATAAATATTATTTTGAAAATTAGTACTTAAATGATCATTAAAACAATATGGGTATGTGCCCAGGAGATATTACTCAAGACAAATTGAATAAAGTTGAACTTCTAGGAGTTACATGAGTACCAAATACTTTGTTAATTGAATGATAGATAATTTAAAGAAGTTGCGCCCTCTAGCGACAAGGCTTCTGTGACGTCAAGTGGACGTGGTTCTGCTATTTTTGGTGGTTGTTTGTGTTTTGAAATACAGCTATCTAAAGACGGTGATAATAGATCAAAACAATATCGACGTTGCGAAAGACATCTTTTTTTTCACGCGGTTTACGTCACACACACTCTTCGTCACTAGATGGCGTGTGTCATTGACACAGTGTATTCTATGCAAACGTAGTGCTTATAGTTGACACTTGCGTTTTTGCCCCGTAACTCGCTCTACCTTTACTCTTAGACATATTGCGCGATGTGGCGCTAACTTCCGACTGTATCTGAGTTTTTCGACAATTATAGAAACAGGGGAATAATTTTTTAAACTCTTTCCTAAAGCTCTCGTGAAAATAAGCGTAAAGAAAAGGGTTGATCCAACTATTACAGAGAAAGATAAATATAGCTAAGTTAGCAGGAACAATCGACCACAAGAATTCATTTCTAGGAAAAGTTTCAGACCAGGTGAAATAAAACTGTAAGATGTGGTTCGGAAGCCACGTTAATGCAAATTGTAGCACGACGAAACTTAGCATTCTAACTGCCTTCTTCTTGTTATGGCTGCTAGCATTTGTTGGTGATTCGCTGAACCATAGTGTGAATATCATTATCGAGTAAAGAACTAATAATATCAATAGTGGAAGTATGTACATTAAAACCAAGTCTGTCAAGCGAAACCATCGATCTGTATCTTCGTCCCGAACGTAGCATGTGTGTACTACTTCATAATCATACAAAGTTACGTTGTTTACTTCCGTCGTGACCGTCTTATTCTCGACAAGTACGTCATTTACGGACAGTTTAAAAGACGAATATCCAAGCGCACAACTCCACACAATGGCGCAACCGATTAAAGCGTGTTGTACGGTTAGTTTTGGTTTCATGGGCAGCACGATGGCACGATAGCGGTCCACTGCTATACCAATAAGCGAAAACGTAGTTCCACACTGCGCCGCCCAGTGCAAATATCCGAATAGTTTGCACACTGCTCTGTTGGATATCGGGAGACTGTATGCGAAGTGTCCAACGTGGTAAGGGATGAAGAAGACCGCTATCATTAGATCGGATACCGATAATGAGACAATAAAAAGGCTTGTTGCGGAGTTCCTCAGTTTGGGTTGACGAAACACGGCGATGATCACCCACGTGTTTCCCACAATTATCAGTGTCATGAATAATATTCCAAAAGCGACGGTAATCTCCGGTGGTGTGTTTAATTTTGCGGCTTTCTCGACCAGATCATCGTAGTCATAACTCATGGAGAGTTGATCTCCATTTGAATCCATTTGAGTATTATCCTCCATATCTATAATGTGGGATCAAATAAATACAATTAATTAGTCTTTTGGACAATATCAACTGTTCAATGTGTAGATATGTTTTCTATGTGTAGCGTTCCCACTGTCACAGAGGTTATGTACGTACACGGACATCGAGTTTAAAAACAGAATGATGAAATAGCGTGGGAAACATTACTTTGCAATCCCAAGAGATCAAGTCGGCATTAAGAAGCTATTATCAATCTAAGAAACATATGCACATGTGAAAACTACACCATAATAATATTTAGATAATACTTATAAAGAAAAAGTATATCCTGATAGGTTCTGGGTTTCTGCACTCAACTGCTCTTAAAATCAATCAGTGTACGTCAACAAAGACATTACAGACCAAAGTAGAGTTGAACAGAGAGTTTATGACGTTGTAAGATTCCTGAATAATAATATACACACACATGATCATCTGATGTTAATTAAAAGACCTAAAACGCAATGCATATAGAGAAATTCATTATAGATAATAGTTTAGTCGATTGCATGAATAGCTCGATCGAATAGATGTATTACGTAATCCACTTAGTCTGACTGAACGATAAATTACACGTCTGATACATTACAAATACACAGCCTGGCAACAAACGATTCATATCCACTAACAGACATGTACTTATGTAATAGTACTCTTGAAAAAAATAATTTCCCATATGACGCGATTCTTACTTGCAGTCGTTTGATTGATAGGGGTGATAGCTACATAGCGACTTTACCTATGTATATGTGACACAGAATTAATATTTCATATGGCGAGGGTTTAAGTATGGTACTTTTATCAATAGGTGTTTAGACAATTGCGTGTTCAGGGGGAAACATAAAGTGCATTATTTGATGGACATACTGTTCGCATTTAGAACAGTTACAGATCCTGTCCGCAATTGCTGCTCAAATAACTAAAATAGACACAAGAACTTGATGTTTCCGTGCCAAAATACGAGTGGTATTAACTGTTTCCTGTAGAAGTGGGGCATAGCTAGGAAGCGTGGTCAGATTTATTTGTTTCAATACTGAAAGGGCATGTACTCATTAGTCGAAAATTTACAATCAAAATTGAATTGAGCTGCCTGAAAAGGCTTTCCATGACAGTTTTATTTATGGCTTACAATCGATTAGAGCATTTTATCAAACCAATTTCACAAAGCATGCTGGCCAACCCAGACGTGCCTGACGCATTAAACACAAATTCGTACGTTTAGGCTAAATACGCATCTGGTTTGTTTTTACTTGCTTCAATTAAATGAGTACACGTGAAACCCATAGTGTATGTTTGTTTCTCATCATGTAAACATCTCTATTGACCCCGGTTCTAACACCAGTTGATACGCCAGAAACCAGTACACGCGGACTGTTTTAAACAAACAAATAGTAATTTCAGAGTAAATGTTGACAAAAGATGCCGAACGAGAAACTGTCAGCTATCGAAAGTATACGTCATATTTAGTACAATGTTTATTTCCGATAGAGCGTTGTTTTTATCCTGAATTTCTGTCAGCATTTACTCAGAGAATACTCTTTTTTGTATACATATTACAAAGAAAGAACTCTTCGTTTATTCGGAAATGACTGTTTTTTTTTGTCCGTGTTTATAGTAAGCGGGCTGTTTTTTCACACTATCAAAATACAGAGTACAGATTTACCGTCATTTTTTTCCGAGCGGCAGCAAAATGGATTCTTACGATTTATCGACGAACTCACAAAGACTCGTCATATGTATTTTTGGTCTCGGCAGATCAGGTTAGCTGCTTTACTGCGTCGGGGGGTTCATACTGCCGTTAGCAAATTTAAAAAATGCGATATAATTGGCATGTATTGGTCATCTTATATACTAGCATTTGGACTAAAAAGCCGACTCTGCTTTTAAGGTGACAAATCAAAAAGCTGTTTGTAGTCTGAATAATTTATAATTCTAGAAACTCACTGGATATCCCTGAAAGGCGAGTGTGGTGTATTTGGTGTAAATGTTATTGTAAAGTTGATCACATACATTAGCGATGTTCAAAATTGTTCAAATCGTGTTAAAAATTCAAAGTTACTGCTAACTGTAAATCAGAACCATTCTATGCGTTATGGAAGCAAAGAAAACAAAATCATATGAGTGAACGCAAAATGGGTGTGATTGTGACGGAATGACTTGTCAAATATAATATATAAGCATGGTTACTGACGATATGTCATGACACTGCTGCTCTGTGTGCTCAAAATGTATAAAGGAAAAACTGGCGTAACTCAGTCATCTGGCGTAGAAGAGATATGAACTTTACTAATGGAGATGAAAACAGCGTCGATTGTTACTACTGACGAAACTGTGGCCCGGGTAAAAGTGCAATACTATATTTGACCCGAAACTATCCGACCCCACTTTATTCTCTTGACCAATTAACCTAGTATACAGACTGATTGCGCGCTTTTCACTTCTGTCGTGACGGCTGCAGCTCGTGCCATTAATATCCCACGAGCGACAAAACGTGCTTGATAATAAAAAATACTCAGAAATTAATAAAAAGGCTCTAAAATAGCAAAATTGTATTTTCGTTACCTATCTTTTGTTTCGTATCTCTAATTTTAATTTCGAATGATGAGGACCGAATTAAATACTGTTACCTCTATTTTGTAGCAAAATTCAACTATCGACTTGCAAGTACCGATTAGTAACAAAATGTCGAATAAGGAATGCCCAGACCAAAACTAAATATTTAACTTATTTAATAAAGAAATGTTTGCATATCTTTATCAAATATTTCTTGTAATCTGTACGGATTTATATGCTTAAAGCAATTATAATGGAATCTGCATTGATTTACATACACTCGCGTCACCTTATCGAAAGAACTGCCCCAGTGTGTCGGATCCATATGATTACAGACGGGCACAGTTTACTGGTGGTCGCCGCGACATTCGACGACACCACAAAACACAGTTACGTCAATACACAAATTAAAACAAAATTGACGGCTTGTGATAGTTGTAATTGTAGCCCAGGAATAAAATTATCTCTGATGTCGAAAATATAGTGTGATGCTTGGACCACGTTCGTATGTATCACAAAGTATCACATCAAGTTAACATATTATCATTCTTTAAATACCCAGTAAAGACGCAATTCTACGCAATGTATAATTAGTCACTGAATAATGTTTTTTTCGTGTTATTTGTTAAGGATATAATGTACATTCATGTTACTATATAAAGAGTGGTGGGCCTCCGGGTCTCTCAAATCCCAGGATGATAGGATTCTGGCTATGATTGGCTTTACTCTCCTAACAAGCGCGTCTATCGCATTTTGTTTAACGTGTTCCGATCTTATTATTCTTGTAAAATCGATGGACACGCCTGAAGGAGAGATGTATTATTTGCTATGTTCGTTGCTTTGTTTATACTAAATAATCCATTATACCTTTATGTTGAGATTACTATCAAAGTGATATATAGTATAATCCATGCGCAGAGAATAATATGTCACCGTACACCACAAGT